GTGCAAAATAATTGCACAGGTTAGGACTCACCAATGAGACCAATGGGTGTAGTGCATCAGTGCCATAAATCCCTGCCAAAGTGGGCCAGGCATTGACTACAATTGGGGGGGCACATATTTTTTGTGCAAAATAAATGCCATAGGAACATAGTGACTTGGCGCCCATTCACATACACATTCACATTGGGCACACTTGACATTTCATGCAAAAAGATAATGGGTGGAAATACAACTGGAGAATAACAGACACAGATGCATACTTAGTGCAGGTACAAGTGATTTGGCACCCACTCACATTTGGTGAACATTCACATTGGGTGCACTGACATTTTGTGTGCATTCACATTGAGCGCACTCTGACATCTGGTGCCCATTCACATTGGGCACACTCTGACAATTGGTGCCCATTCACATTGGGCGCACTTTTCATGCATTCACATTGGGTACACTCTGATGGGCGCACTCTGACATTTGGTGCCCATTCACATTCCAACATTTCATGCATTCACATTGGGCGCACTCTGATATTTCAGGCATATTCATGTTGGGTGCACTCTGATGGGCATACTCTGACAGTTGGTTCACATTTACATTGGGTGCACTTTTCATGCATTCACATTGGGCACACTGACATTTTGTGCCCATTCACATTCCAACATTTCATACATTCACATTGGGCGCACTGATATTTCGTGCACATTCACATTGGGTGCACTCTGATGGGCACACTCTGGCATTTGGTTCACATTTACATTGGGCGCACTGACATTTGGTGCCCATTCACATTGGGCGCACTTTGATGGGCGCACTCTGACCTTTGGTGCACATTCACATTGGGCACAGCACACTCTGACATTGAAACAATGCTGGATACAGACTATTTGTGACCCTATCAACAGCACAAGGTACATACAGTAGTACTTGAAAGAATTGTGTGCCCTGTGGAGCACAAAATAATTGCACCCCCTGTGGAGTGCAAAAGAATTGCATCCCTTATGGAGCTCAAAATAATTGTCCCCCCCATGGAATGCAAATAATTTCGCCCCTCATGGAGCTCGAGATAATTGCACCCCCTGTAGCGCTCAGAATAATTGCGCCCCCATGGAGCACAAAAGAATTGCGCCTCTTGTGGAGCTTGAAATAATTGCACCTCTAGAGCACAAATAATTGCACCCCCATAGAGTGCAAATAATTGCGCCCCTTGCAGAGCTCAAAATAATTTCGCCTGTAGAGCGCAAAATAATAATGGCATTGGTGCAAAGTGTGGGTTATTTTCAATAGGAGGAGCGCCCATTATTGGCAGGCGCCCACCTGTTCGGCCCAGCCATCACTATGGATGATTTGTTGAGATGTCGGCCGAGTCCGCTGGCCCCATATGGTATGAAGCATTGTCAAGTTCGGTTGGTCCATTTGGTAGGGGCTAGGGTCACTGTCATATGTGGTTCGTGAACGAGAGTTTTCCTGCTCCAGAAAATCAAGCAAAACCGGAATATCCAGTTCTTCTAAAAGGATATCTGCGTGACGGACATTGTTCCTCTGAGGAAATCCACCATCAACGAAAGGAAGAAAACAAAGGGGAAGATGAAAAGACTTGCCTCGATTGATTGGGACGAGCGGGTAGATAACATGAAGAGTACGGTATAATATGAAGAGCAAGTGGTCTCTGTTCTCCAAACCATCCAGGAATGATACATTATAGCAGGGGCCATCTTCAAGTTGACATCCTCATGAGTTTTAGTGGCAAACGTGGTGAAACTCACAACTCATATTGCCATGTGAAGGAATGGCCAACAGCCGGCAAGTCAAAAACATAACTGGATCCTGAGTTGAATGGTAAATTGCTCAGAAAGTATATGCTATAGCTATCGACAGTGGTGCCCTTGCAAATATATATACAAATGTGAATGAATGCGCTTAAGGCAAGGTAAAGGTATTAATTGTCATCACTAGCTGTATAATGGCCAAGTCTATTCTCCGGGATCCATGGTCCATACGTCGGAATGTTTGAAGGCGTTATGAACAATATTCGAGTTTCTCCGTGAAATTTCGGATTGCGTTGGGGACGCTTTTCGGCGCAAGAGCAGGATCCTAGAAGGAAAAAGTGTAATTAAATAAGAATCATATGTTGGGATATTGGTGACTTACACTCTGCAAGCCTTTAGACAGGTTTGTCAGCTTGTGATTATGATGGATGGTTAAATGAGCTCACAACGAGGTTTGATGAGACAAGGACCAAAGGTAAGCCAACACCACGACCACCATGATTCCGGCTTTAGAAAGAAAATGAGGAATTCTGTGACCTCACATGTAACATGAAGGTTCAACCTACCGGAAGAAGCATACGGCAGTTGTTGCATTTGTGAAGGCAATAAAGCCAAACGAAGAGAGACCTGTTGGAGCATTAGACTACCTACACGACAGGTCGATCAACAAAACTTACTCACCTTGACTGATGAAGTACCGTGCAAGAGAGACCTCCCTGTTTTGCGCTTTCCGACATTGCTGCAAAGAGCGTAAGTTTGGAAAGAGCACACTGCGATGAAAAATATTCACAATAAAAACAAAAACGAGAGATATCAAGTCCATCAGCATGGCGGCTAACTGTGAATTCATGTTGATAATCCATGACACCCTTTAACTCAACAGAAGACAAACCATGGAATACTGTCGACATTGAGTAAACTTTGAAGCCATTTGACTTTTAGAAAAAAATACTCACCCCAATTGCGTCAGCCCTGTCCTGATCGCCATAGTTGGGGAAACAGCCAGTTCTACCGATGAGGGTATAGAAGGACGGAGGTATGGGTTTGATGTCAATGCAGAAAGCCCAGATGTCCACAGCAAGTAGGCCTGAGTAACATGTTGCAAGAGGTATCAATACCCATCTATTGCGCCCAGAGAATGCGTAAGCTCTCATCACCATAACAGCTGGATTGAAATAAGATGCTAAATCCTTGGTGAACTTGGCAAGACTCAAACCTTGAGAGAAAAATAGCTAGTAAGTCATATTGTGAATCAGTTTCTTCAACTTACAGCAAATGCGAAGAGACTTACAAATGGTGCAAGTAAAGCATGAATGGGCCATAAGACATATTCGCACACTTCTGAACTGTGATTCCCGATATAGGCCCACATGAATACCGGCCAGAAACAGAGAGGATAATAGCGGCAAAGGAGATATGCAACCTTTATAGAGGACCACCGCGCTTGGTGGATCTGCGCATATGATTAGCCCCTTAATGATACCTAATCATGCAGAAGGAACGTACAAGATTAACCTCCTTATCGAACCTAGGACGAAAATATCAGCGTCCAAGAAATTTGCAGAATGGGAGGGGGATCGAGACATACGACGCGAACCACTCGTAGAGCTGCAAGCCGTACATCGCCGCGATAGCGTAGCGCACCTCTTGAATGGTGTGTACGCCACGTAATATTTCCTCCCACGTAAAGGTCGACATACGACTGCCTTTGCCGAGGTCACCGAGGGCCCAAGCAGAGACCAAGTCGGCTTAGGAGCTCTTAAATGGTCAGATAAGTGATAGCGGAGCCTCTGCGGTTTGTATCGGTGTGAGGGGAGGTGGCAAGGGGAGTGTTGAAGGGCAGAGCCAGCAACACCTGTCCAAACTCAATGCCGCCTAAGTGACGGCATGTGCCAACTGGGGATGTAATTTAATTCAATGGAGATTTGCCACGGGCCCCACGACCCTGCTTCAAGGTGATAGTCTAAATATTTTCAATGGCTCTTGTTCTGATACACCACTTCTCCCTCCTTCGACGAACAACCACTCAAGTACTCACCGTCTACCTGAGGTAGATTATTATCATCTTCTCGCCCGAGAACTTCCCGACGCGGGTTCGAAGCTTCAGACGGCCGACGCTTTTTTATTCACTTACCGCGTTCTTTTCCGCAAAGCCTACTTTTATTAGGTCCTAAGATTAATATCTAATTACTGTAGGCGAACTGCAGGCTGTACAGTCAGACGTCGTGCACTTCAAATGTGGAAAACATAGGGGGTATGTACCGTAGACCAGCCACAAAAACTCCCCCTCTGATTGTCGCCGATCCCATGAGGAGTGGTTGACGGGCAGCGCATAGACTGCTCGCGTTTAGGTTTCCTATTCGTTTGACGGCAAAATCAAGGCGGCGAATGGTTAAATTTCGCAAGATGCGAGGAAGTACGCCAGCATGACGCTCCAGCGACCGAAATCGGACAACGCCCGTCTCTTTCTGCCCCGCGACCCGGTTCTGCGCCCAACTTGACTTGTCCCGTTTGTCAATGGCCTTTTTCTCAACCTCTTTGCGGACCAGCTGCTCGGGGCAGGTCTGAGAGTTTGAGGGGAGTGAGGGAGAGGTGCTTGTAGGGATAGGATTGGCGGGGAGCACCCGTTGTTGAGCCGTCGATGATGGCCTGCGTGGAGGTTAGTGAGGTTCCGGGAGCATTCTGAGGAGACATACGCAGTTGTGGTCGATGATCTCTACGATGACGGCGATCTTTCCGGAGAAGGCGCCGGATTTGAGGAGGACGACTATTCAACGGAATCAGTGACTATTTCTCGAGAAATCTATTTCCACAACGACGTACCTCACCCAACCTCGACGAAGCCCTTGAAATTTGACTCCTAAGGCAAAAACAGTGTCAGACCACGGATCTTCTGACCGCTTTGTAACACAGTCGTCTCCGACAAGGTCAACGTCATCCAACCCCATCCACCCTTTCCACCACATTTTTTCCGTTCTTTCGGGGCATGGAAACCTTGAAAAAGTTCTTTGCATTGAGAAAAGTCGCCGGGTCTTGTTGTCTTGTGGATGGTGGAGGTGGCCGTGATTTTTCGTAAATGAGGTTGGTGAAGATGCGGCCGTACTGCCGAGGGGGGTCAACGAAGGCCGCAGGGATAGGTAAGGGCATATAAAGTCATACCCGTAATTGAACAGCCACACAACATACCGACTGCTTCATGACTAGCCTCTCCGCGTTGTGAAGACACCGTTCATCATGTTGAAATGCGTGAGTTGAGTTGAGGGGTGTATACCGTGCGAGGTGAACTGTTGGATGCACGATCAGGAGCACCGAAGAAAGTTGGTGATAGAGGAGACATACCTTAAACCTCAGCGACAAGATGGTCGCGTACATAAGCCAAAAGGTGGCCACCAGACCCGCGTCTCTCCGATTGCGTTCGATCCCGCATCACTTGAGAGTGGTTGAAGCATAGAAATGTGTTGCACGAGTATGGGTTTCTGACTCGACTCAATTCAAGAGCGACCATAAGTTTTCGAAACACAAAAACCGACATCGTTTGACTAACCGGACGACAGAAAGTTATCAAAAAAACGAGGTTGAATGAGCCCGACAGGACTTGTACTGCCTGAATGTCATATGTTCGTAATGTGAATGAAAGCACAGAAATCAGTGTCCTTTCGACCCGTGTTAGCTTTATCCTCCATGAGAGATTGCACACTCACCCCGAGTTTCGAGCGCAGGAGCTAAGTGACAGGTTCGAGTTCCTGGAAAGGCAGATAGTATGCAAAAGGGAGAATTGAGCTCGTAGAGGAGGCGCGCGAACGGTAGCTAGATTATGGGCATAGAGTTGGCAGAATCGATGGTGGTCGAGGACAACGTTGCTTTGAGTCTGGATAGCTCCCATGTCGGTGTTGGTTCATCACCTACGTGGGCTCGTTTGTGTAAACTCGACGCCTCAGAGTTGCCACGTCATTGACCCTGCAAAACGATAATGTGATTAGCTCAATCTCGTCACCGAAAGCTGGAGGTGTTGGAGTCATACCCAAAGCAAGAGAACGTACAAGATGACTCCCAGCGCTTTACGTATAGGAGGTGGTCCAAGGCGATTAAATGCGCCGTACTGAGTCGAGTGCGTCGGACGTTGATCGTTTTCTGGTCGATCTTAAGCCAAGGCCACAACATAGTTAAGAACAGCAGACTGGTACCGGGGTTTGTGAGCTGCCCCCTAGAAATGAGGACCCTTAGCATGAATTGATCGGTCAAAGACTTGTTCGTACCTGCGATGGACCACTGATTTTGGTTCTTCTCCTCCACAGATACCCTCTCCTCTGCACCTCGTGTAAACCTCATTTCTGCGACAAGTCGTCCTCAGCACATCGTCGTAGAGACCGGAGCTTATCCCTAGTGTGCGTGAACCGAGTCCGAGGGGATGGTACGGTACTAATGAATGCATTGTCAGCAAACTAGAACGTAGAGAGGGATAGAGCGTGGACGTACCGTACAAATCCGTGACGCAATCTTCCGGACTCGTCCTCCAGTACTCAGTCCTCAGCCTATGACTAAAACGCAGTGTATATGCTGCTTGAGATCTGAGAAAGCGTCACAAAGGGAGAAATTATGGGCGGTATGCGTCAGTAAGAGACTTGAGCGGCACTGGATGACTCGTCAGCGAGAAGAGGGCTGAATGGATCTGAGAGACACACACTCGATTACCGTGAATGGTCACACACACACTTACTAAACGATCCGACAGGAAGTCTCTGAGCGCAGTTTTCATCCTCGGCCAAGGGTACTGATTGGTAGAACCTAAAGTAACCTTGTGTTTGTCATCAAGGGCAACGTCAAAGAGACACTCACGAGATCCCTCCTAATAGTGTGATATGTGCAGCCAAAACGCACAACGATCGATGATGGAGCAAAGGGTTCGCCTGAGATGATGGCAGTCGAGGGCAATTTGGAGCATGGGAACCTTCCTTGCACACTTCGGCAAGAAACGGCACTCAGTCACTGTGCTCATATTTTGCTTGAGGGAGGTGGCTGGTTACAATGCGCGCCGGTTGTGGCTGTGATTTCTCGTGAAATTTGCGTTCGTTTGGATGGGAAGACTTTGAGAACAAAATCCATCACTGTCAACAACGACATCAACGGCGGACTCGTCATTGCCGTCGTCGGTGACGAGCTCTCAAAAATATTGACATGGCCTCCAATATCCACCGTAAGCAATATTGATGAACCCCTGATTGACTCTAACCCAACCTCTCCAGGTCATCGGCACAACTTCGCTGGCGTCCGAACGTTGCGTCCAAACATTATTGGTGGCTTGCGCGGTATGGGGTCATCTAGCCGCAGCAAGCGGAGATGCTGTTGCGCAGGTGGGTGGAGTGTCAGATGTCCGACGATTAGTTGAATTGTGCATTGATTGTTGGGTGAGTAGAGTTTGCAGTTGGAGTGATGCGTATGACAATTTATGTAAGTCGTTTCGGGGCTCTCTGTTATGCAAGGGGATGTTAGTAGAGGGAGTAAATGAGGAAGGGAGGGGAGAGGGCTTACTGCTGTCCCCAAAAGCGACTTTGATGTTGATTTTTGATTTGGTAGATTTTGAGGGTGGGGGGAAGGGGAAGAGGCAGAATGTGTTATCCAAGTATATTCGTGTGAGTGTTGCATGTCATGATGTCCGTACCTATCTTCACAAGTCAATTATTTCATTCCTCGTCACTATAGGCAGGTGGAGAAGCTGCTCACAGCTCGACACCACTTTCGTCCACATGTACATCACCGCACCCATGGACCGCAGAGTTGGACGACCACACATACTCTCCAGGGCCAGCGCTAGCGGGTTCCATAAAAGGTTGAAGGTACGGTGCTTTGACGGCATGTCGTAGAGCTTGGCGAACGTTAGTCCATCAAGGAGTAAGTGAGAATCGGGTCGGGATGGTGCCACGCGGTATAAATAGATGATATGAAGAACTTCGAGTAGAGCTGGAGGACTAAGACAATAGAGTGGGTTGGCCACTCCTTGGACACTCTCGCAGAGAGTTCATACAGCGCGGCAAAAACAGCTAGGGTGAGTTTCCTCGCTAAATCCTCTCCAGTGGATAATCAAACTTCTGATCGCGCAAGCTTCGTTCTTCTGTGATTCGCACTCACCCGTTCGTATTTGTGGCGGTTGGCCAACGTTGGAACCCCCAAAATGCGCCGCTTCGTTGTCGATCTCCTTCCATGGAAGAGCTTGCATGACGTGCGCGACATCGTTGATACCATTTACAACACCTCCTTGAATATCTTCGAGTCAAAGGAAAGGGCGTTGTTGGACGGGGATGAAGCTGTTGCAAGGCAGGTCGGGGAAGGAAAGGATATATTGAGCAATCTAAGTACACAATTTTTTTTTCCACCTGCGAGATTCTTTGACTGATTCCATGATAGTGAGAGCCAATATGGACGCATCGGAGGAAGATAAACTTGACGAATCCGGACTTGTTGCGCAAGTCGTGTGCGTATCCCTCATCTTTGCCCCAAAAATTTTGAATGATCGGACCCCTCTCCGTCTGACAAGAGGTTTGACATTTGCTGCAGTAGACACGACGTCAAGCGCTATATCCCGCACGCTGCATTTACTAGCGCAGCACATATAAATTCAAAGAAGTCACGTCATGAGATCACTGAAACCCGTACTAAGACTGGGAGTCTTGCTTACGACGAACTGGTTGCACTCCCATATCTCGATACTGTATGCAGAGAAACTCTTCGCCTTTATCCACCGGTATCGTATCTCTCCAGGAGGTATGTGCTCTCCTTCCGTTGACTTAAAATTTGTCGTTGAACCTTTCTTCTGGGCCCTCATGTAAAATAGGACACGCGAAAACATCATTATGCCTCTCTCGAAACCTTTGAGAGGTCTCGACGGAGAGGACGTGCATGAAATTCTGGTCCCAAACAACACAAACATCATTATATCGACAATCGCTGCCAATCGGAACACAGAAGTATGGGGCTCTGATTCGCTTCAATGGATCCCGGAGAGGTGGCTTGCTCCTCTTCCTTCGTCCGTAACGAACGCGCATGTCCCCGGAGTATATTCGAACCTGTGGGTCATTTTCGGACTTTGACTTTGTATTGAGTATTGACCGCTCACATCTTGAAACGCGTCTTGTTAGGATGTCATTTTTGGGTGGAAGTCGAGCTTGCATGTGCGTCCAATGATTTTCCTCTGTGATTGCTTGACCAAATTACCCCTTAGCGGCTTCAAATTTCTCAACTTGAAATGAGTAAGTCCACCTACTAATACGGCTATTCGCTGCAAAATTATCACTCACCTTTCGTGGCAGAGGTCGTATTGTCACTCTTGATCAAGTCTTTCTGCTTTGCTCCCTCTAACAAGGAGATATACTGGCAAATGACGACTATTGGAACGCCGACCATAGTTGGCGAAGATGGTAAAGTTCAACTCCCACTCCTTGTCAGCAAGGTATAAGCTGCAGAACCACACATTTTCTCAGGCCAAAGTGTACGATGTTACTGTAATACCAACTATTGATTGTCAATCTCACACCTGAGTTCACTTGACTAGGTGCCTGCAATCCCAACATCCCCGGGATAATCGATAATCAGTTACTAATTCTATGTAGTGACGATTGTCTTTTGCAGGTATGTAGTGGATAAATTATAACCCCCTTCCAGCTGCTGCATTTTCCCCCAACTTCTGCGCAAGTACTTCGTCTGGGTCGCAGCCTTTAATCTTTGGGAGCAAGAACGTAACGCCTGGGGTAAAAGAGTCAGGATGTCATTTCGACGCATAGGCGATGGCTTTGGACACACCTGTTCCAATAATACAGCAACCAAAGAGAACTTCATATATGGGCTAAGGCATTAAAGGGGGAGGCAACGTACTCCAAAGAATAGCGTGCGTTCCTGTTCTCTTACTGAGCGTGTTAAACGCTAGTGCATATATGATAGCTCCTATTTTACCACAAGCGGCCGATATTCCATGCACGATACCGAGTTGGGAATACTGAATTAGTGGTTTTGGTCAGTAGATATAAATCAAGAAGACAACGGGGTCACCTTCTGCTGGGTAACACTGTAGGCTTGACGTCAGCTTAGCATGAAACAAAAAGTCAAGGAGATGGACGTATGTCGTACTATAGGTCAAAGAATCGGTCATTAGGGAAATGATGACGCAGCAGGGAAGGAAGAGGCTTACGCGTTGAGCCCGAAGTTAAAGAAGGAAAGCAAAGCACACAATAAATGGTGCCGTACCAAGGGTATAAAACTTTCCAGCCAGGATTCCCACTATCTTCAATCGTCACATATACCGTATAAGCAATCTGAGAAAAGACTCACGGAAGAGGGCGGCCAGCAGAAATCCCTGAACTTGAATCCACTTTCGTCCAAGAATCTCAATTGTCAAAACGGTCGCGTAGTATCCTTTAACAACGATCAACAAAGGCCGCAATATCGTTTGAAGTTGATGAACGTACCGGGGAGCATGGCCAAAGCCATGATGATGATACCACCTGTAGAGATTTTGAAAAATACGTTCCCAAGCCATTCCCTTGTTTCCAGCATATTACATTTGCTGCAAGACAACGTTTAGATTCAAGTTTATGCCATAGAATCTTTACGCAACCACCCGAGGTAAGACTAAATTCAGAGGGTGTAGAGACTCAGAGTGAGGATGTACGAAATGTCAAGAAGGAACCAGCAGACACATGTGCCTATGAGAATCTTGGCGTGTCGCCACTCTGAATGCAACTTTTCCGCTTAGACGAGGATTTTTTACTGTCTTAAACATCATTCAGAATTGGACTTACTTCCGATAAGTTGTCGGGCGGAAGGTACTTGACATGAACAACCTCTCAGTGCAACTTTTCCGCTTAGACAAGGATTCATTACTGTCTTAAACATCATTCAGAATTGGATTTCCGATAATTTGTCAGGCAGAAGGTACCTCACACAGTCTTTTATATCCCTACTAACTTATCACAGGTTCCAATAGTTACAGAACAAGATAGATAGGAGGAGAGTGCGTATACTGAATGGACACTGCCGAGGTAGCGGATGACTGTTTCGAAAATGTAGGCATGGGAGGTTGGCTGAGGACGGGGGTGGGTGAGTTGAGGTCAGGGAGTTGTAAGAAGTGAGAGGAAGGAAGGAGGTAACGAAGAGGGAAGGAAGACAGGAAAGGGGAGAAGTAAAAAGGAAGGAGGGGCAAAGAGAGAAAGTGGGAAGGACATACGGACAGCATAGAGAAAGTAAGATTCCCAACGAACCCAAGGGCATCTTCGAAATCGTCGTGAAGCCCCGTTATGTACATCGTATCAAGGAAGTCGAGGAGCGTTACGCCCCAGCCACTGAATCTGTNTGTATCGGGTTAGGTGGGAAGGAAGACACATCGCAAAAAAGACGCACTTGTCCAAAAAACCCCCGAAACGGCCAACAGCTCATCATGCAGGAAAGCATGGGTCTTATATGTCTTCATATCATGCACAAGCCCTGTCGTGACTTCACCCCTTTTCACTCCCCAGTCAATGGGTCCGTTAAGGTCAAAGTTGACGACATGTCGCGTTTGCCGTGGTTGTCGACGCGGTCAGTCCTATCGAAGCATCTTGTTCAGGCAGGCCATTCGTCCTCATATGTGAGTACCAGCCATGTTCGTATCCCTGTCCCTGTTCCTGTCCATTTCGAAGACCACCCTGCGGCTCAAAAAGCAGCGGCTGTGGGGGACCACGGACACCTAGAGACCAACGGGAACGCGGACAGTGATACAATGCCCAACGCAAGCCAGCGTACGATGGGCCGTCATCCGTAGAAGGAGGAAACAACGGAACAGGGAGTGTGGTGAGAGGGTAACATCGATAATCGAGTTTCGCATGGCTCGGAAGGTTGTTCAATCTGCGAAGGACAGAGGGATATATGCTGTGGATGACATTCCATATTGAGGGATGGTATTCATCCGAGCCAGCGATGATCTGGGACTTTGACACTGGCGAGAGATACGAACTTGTCCGCTTCCCAACGTGAATGAGCAATTTCCCAGCCGTTATGAGAACTGGCATCACGAACAGCAACACTGTTCCTCTCAATGGCCCGTTTCTTCTTCATGAACGCATCTCACCTGGGGGTGAAGTAGGTGAAGGAATATCGATACTGGAAGGCCTCCGTTGATGTTCAAGAATGCGAGTGAAGTTCTCGGTGGGAGGAAATCGAGTGAAGCTTGAATATTTGGACGAAGGAGACAGGCATTGAAGACGCGACTAGATCCGCTACGGCTTCGAACATCCGAGTACCAAACGCGAGAGGGAAAACCGTATTTTGATGCTTCGGATGGTCTGGGACGCGTCCAACCCACTCCTTCTCACTCTCCTCGTCCGACGCATCCTGAATGACATCCACCCTGCGCTCACTCTCCCGATCTTTCTCAGGGAGAGACCCACCTGTCTCCCGCTGCGCTTCCATCCTTTTCCAAAAGTCACCCACGGCCCTCCTTAAACACCGACAACCTTCAAGTCGTGTCGTATCCCTACTCGAGTACTTGTCCCGCCTTGATGACGTACACGAGATAAGTCGTGTGAGTAACAATGGTGGTCCTGTTCTTATGCCACTGCTTGACGGCTTCGAATACGAGACTAGGCGGTAGCGTCCAGCGCGAAAGTCGCCTCATCTGGAAGGGAGTGAGTTAGTAAGGGTCCGCAGAAAAGGAAAGCAGCAAGACATACCAAGTATCAGAACCAAGAACCGAGCACTGGCAATAGCCTCTGCTTCCGCCTAACACTACCAGTGACCAGCGCCCCCACCGAGGAGGGTTTCCTACCCATTTGGCATATCAAGGGCGAACTAATGTATCAGCGCAGCACGGCGCGCATCCTCCGCCTCTTCCTTCGCCATGACGGGCACCCGTTGAACAAGCACACCAACAACGACATTCTCGAATACACCCTCCCGTTCGAGATGGCCACTCCACTCTGTGAGCTTGTCGTCGAGGGAACTGGACGCCGTGCTCGTCGATGGTGATGTGTCCCGCTTGAAGGGTTGTACATGCTCAAGAGGAGCTGAGTGACGATGGATTGGCCGGACGCGGAGGACCCGATAATGAACGTGATTTCGTTTGCAGGGGGGAAGATGCAGAGGTTGGAGAGGACGGGGATGGTAGGACGCGAAGGTACGCGAAGGTGACGTTATGGAGTGCCAGTTCGCCAGAACACCTACTGGCGTGATTTGAAAACTCGGACAAAAAGTGATAAAGGGAAGGCTAACCTTCTGAATTTGGCGATAAGACCACCAGCACCGAACTCGCATGGACGGATAGATTGATTGTCTTGCGGAGTGCCGTGGCTAGGCAACCTAACAAATCGTCCATGGCTTGAGTTGGTGGATTTGGAGTAAGAGGGAATCCTCAAACTCACAGTCACAGCTATCGAGGTATCGATAGACCAGATCTCAAAACGCTCCGCTTAGTGGTTTTGTTTACTTGTGGAGCTTCAGGGTATGCGCAAACAACCTTACCAGGGAGGTATGACTATATATGCAACAAGCGGGAAAGGGCGGGAAGGCAATGCCCGCCCATTGGCTGTGGGAAGTTGTTTGGCCAGCTCCAAAACTAAACAAAATCAGTAAGCGGAGCGTTGTGGATACTGGTCTATCGATACCTCGATAGCTGCAACTCACAGTCAACTGAGGGCTTGGAATCACTTTTGAGATTCCGCCGAAAACCTTAATTCCCGAATGGTCAAACCTCACATGACCTGTGGGAACGACGCCCAAGTCCACACTCACAAACCAGCAACCAAACCACACCTATATCAAACCTATACCATCCCTCTCAGAATCTCGCGCCCGTCAACCCGTCTCAAGTCCAACGCGACAAATCCTGCAACCGAAAATCTGCCCAACGTCGGTATCACAAACAGAAACCCCGACTACGCCAACCACATTCAGCGAGTGTGCGAAAACGATGACTCCAACGCCGAGTGCCCAACCACGCCGTCGACGACAAAAGCTGCCAGCAGTAAAGACAAGAAATTGACCGCCCAACGCGCATGATAGGACTTGGACACTGCCCCATCCCTTCACGCAAGTCCGACACCAACGACGGGTCGGGTGAATCCA